GGTAAAAGGTTGGAAGACGACTTTCCAAGCAAATGGACCCAAGAAACAAGCAGGAGTAGCCATTCTAATAGCTGATAAAATAGACTTTCAACCAAAATTAATAAAAAGAGATGAGGAAGGACACTTCATACTCATCAAGGGAAAATTCCACCAGGAAGACATCACAATCCTGAACATCTATGCCCCAAATACAAGAGCACCCACATTTGTAAAAGAAACATTGATAAAATTTAAACCACATATAGATCCCCACACATTAATAGTGGGAGACTTCAACACCCCACTCTCAACAAAGGACAGGTCAACTAAACAGAAATTAAACAAAGAAACAATATCTCTGACAGAGGTCATGAATCAAATGGACCTCACAGACATTTACAGAACTTTACACCCAAACACAAAAGAATTTACCTTCTTCTCAGCACCTCATGGAACCTTCTCCAAAATAGACCATATAGTTGGTCACAAAGCAAGCCTCAACAGATACAAGAAGACTGAAATAATCCCTTCTATCCTGTCTGATCACCATGGAATAAAGCTGGACTTCAACAACAACAGAAATAGCAAAAAGCCTACACACACATGGAAACTGAACAACTTGTTACTAAATGACAGCTGGGTCAGGGAAGAAATAAAGAAAGAAATTAAAGCCTTTCTAGAACTCAATGAAAATGAAGACACAACATACCCAAACTTGTGGGACACAATGAAAGCAGTGCTAAGAGGAAAGTTCATAGCACTAAGTGCCTTCAAGAAGAAATTCGAGACAGCTCATTCAAGCAACTTAATGGCCCACTTAAAAACCCTAGAAAAAGAACAAGCAGACACACCAAAAAGCAGTAGACGGCTGGAAATAATCAAACTCAGGGCTGAAATCAATCAATTAGAAACAAATAAAACAATTCAAAGAATCAATGAAACCAAGAGCTGGTTCTTTGAGAAAATCAACAAGATCGACAAACCCTTAGCCAAGCTAACTAAAAGGCAGAGAGACACCACCCAAATCAACAAAATCAGAGTGAAAAGGGGGACAAAACTACAGACACTGAGGAAATCCAAATAATCATTAGGACTTACTTCAAAAGTGTATCTGCCACAAAATTTGAAAATCTAAATGAAATGGACAATTTTCTTGATCGATTTGACTTACCAAAGCTGAATCAGGACCAGGTAAATCAATTAAATAGTCCTATATCCCCCAAAGAAATAGAAGCGGTCATCAAAAGTCTCCCATCCAAAAAAAGCCCAAGACCAGATGGCTTCAGCGCAGAATTCTACCAGACCTTCAAAGAAGAGCTAACTCCAATTCTCTTCAAACTATTCCACAAAATAGAAACAGAAGGAACATTACCAAACTCATTCTATGAAGCCACAGTCACCTTGGTACCTAAACCTCACAAAGACTCAACAAAGAAAAAGCATTTCAGGCCAATCTCCCTTATAAACATTGATGCAAAAATACTTAACAAAAAACTTGCAAACCGAATCCAAGAACACATCAAAGATATTATCCACTATGACCAAGTAGGCTTCATCCCAGGTATGCAGGGGTGGTTCAATATACGGAAATCCATCAATGTGATCCACCATATTAACAAACTGAAAGAAAAAACCACATGATAATCTTCCTAGATGCTGAAAAAGCATTTGACAAAATCCAACATCCATTCATGTTTAAAGTACTGGAGAGATCAGGGATACAAGGCACATATCTAAACATAGTAAAGGCGATATACAGCAAGCCTATAGCCAATATCAAACTGAACGGAGAGAACCTTAAAGCAATCCCACTGAAATCAGGGACAAGACAAGGCTGCCCACTCTCTCCATATCTCTTCAACATAGTGCTGGAAGTCCTTGCTAGAGCAATAAGACAGTTGAAGGAGATCAAGAGGATACAGATGGTTAAAAAAGAAGTCAAATTATCACTATTTGCAGATGATATGATAGTATACATGAGTGATCCCAAAAACTCTACCAGAGAACTCCTACAGCTGATAAATACCTTCATCAAAGTGGCCAGATACAAAATTAACTCAAAAAAATCAGTAGCACTCCTGTATACAAAAGACAAAAGGGCTGAGAAAGAAATTAGGGAAACAACACCCTTCACAATAGCCACAAATGACATAAAGTACCTTGGTGTAACCCTAACCAAGCAAGTCAAAGACTTGTATGAAAAAAAATTTCAAGTCTCTGAAAAAAGAATTAGAAGAACATATCAGAAGATGGAAAGATCTCCCATGCTCATGGCTTGGCAGGATTAATATAGTAAAAATGGCCATCTTACCAAAAGCAATCTACAGATGTAATGCAATTCCCATCAAATTGCCAACACAATTCTTTACAGACCTGGAAAGAAAAATTCTCAACTACATTTGGAATAACAAGAAACCCAGAATTGCTAAAACAATCCTCTACAATAAAAGATCGTCTGGAGGTATCTTCATCCCTGATCTCAAGCTGTACTATAGAGCAACAGTTATAAAAACTGCATGGTACTGGCATAGAAACAGAATTGTGGATCAATGGAATCGAACAGAAGACCCAGAAATAAACCCACACACTTATAGACACCTGATCTTTGACAAAGATGCCAAAACCATACAATGGAAAAAAGATAGCATCTTCAGCAAATGGTGCTGGTCCAACTGGATGTCTACATGTAGAAAAATAAAAATAGATCCATACCTGCACAAAACTGAAGTCCAAGTGGATCAAAGACCTCAACATAAAACCAGACACATTAAATCAGCTAGAAAAAAAGTGGGGAATACCCTAGAACTCATTGGTACAGCAGACAACTTCCTGAACAGAACACCAACAGCACAGGCTCTAAGAGCAACAATCAATAAATGGGACCTCATGAAATTGAAAAGCTTCTGTAAAGCAAAGGACACCGTCATCAAAACAAAACGACTGCCTACAGATTGGGAAAGAATCATCACCAACCCTTTATCTGACAGAGGACTAATATCGAGTATATACAAAGAACTAAAGAAGCTGAAAAGCAGCAAACCAAGTAATCCACTTAAAAAATGGGGAACAGAGCTAAACAGAGAATTCTCTGTAGAGGAATATCGAATGGCAGAGAAGCACTTAAAGAAATGCTCAACCTCATTAGCCATTAGGGAAATGCAAATCAAAACAACCCTGAGATTTCCCCTTACACCCATCAGAATGGCCAAGATCAAAAACTCACATGACAACACATGCTGGAGAGGTTGTGGAGAAAGGGGAACCCTTCTCCACTGCTGGTGGGAATGTAAACTGGTACAACCACTCTGGAAATCAATCAGACAACTAGGCTTTCTCAGACAACTAGGAATAGCGCTTCCTCAAGATCCAGCCATACCACTCCTAGGCATATATCCAAAAGAGGCTCAAGTACACAAAAAGGACATTTGCTCAACCATGTTTGTAGCAGCTTTATTTGTAATAGCCAGAAGCTGGAAACAGCCAAGGTGCCCCTCAACTGAAGAATGGATGCAGAAACTGTGGTACATCTATACAATGGAGTATTACTCAGCAATGAAAAATAAGGAAATCATGAAATTTGCAGGTAAATGGTGGGACCTAGAAAGGATCATCCTGAGTGAGTTGTCCCAGAAGCAAAAAGACACACACAGTATATACTCACTCATATAGACATACAACATAGAATAAACCCACTAAAATATGTACATCTATCAAACTAAGCAAAAGAGAGGACCCTAACTAAAATGTTCAATCCCCATCCTGAAAGGCAAAGAGGATGGACATCAGAAGAAAAAGAAAACAGGAAACAGCCTAGGAACCTGCTACAGAGGGCCTCTGAAAGCCAGAAGAAGAAAACAGGAAACAACCTCGGAACCTGCCACAGAGGGTCTCTGAAAGCCTCTGCTGTGCAGACTGTCAAAGCAGATGCTGAGCCTGATGGCCAACTGATGGGCAGAGTGAATGGAATTTTATGTAAGAAGTGGGAAATAGTAAGAGCTGGAGAGGACAGGAACTCCACAAGGAGAGCAACAGAACAAGAAAATTTGAACACAGGGAACTTCCCAGAGACTCATACTCCAACCAAGGACTATCCATGGAGATAACCTAGAACCCTGACAATGCAGCCACTTCTGATGAGAACTGATAGACTAAGATCAGAAAGAAGGAGAGGAGGACCTCCCCTATCAGTGGACTTGGGAGAGGCATGCATGCAGAAAGGGGGGGAGAGGGTGGGACCGGGAGGGGAGGAGGGAGGGACTATGGGGGGATACAAAATGAATAAAGCGTAATTAATAAAAGTTAAATAAAAAAAAAATTTACAGCATAAGGAAGGTTGTGAACCAATACATGCAGCTCCAATCAATAACATTTCTTCAGGCCAAGTCTACTTTCCATGTGAGCTTCCTAGGCTACTGGCAAGTTAAAGACAGAGGAAAATCCAGCTCATGGAAACCAAAGCCTTATCTTCAGGCAAAAATTTTATATTAAATCCATTTAAATAGACTCAATTTCCTTAATTCTCAGCAGGGCAAGGTCATAAAGATATAAAGAATGAATAATGCCCCCAAAGGACACAACAATTTCACTATTTTATGTATATGATGTGTGCGCATATTCATATGTCCACATTCACATGCACAACTGTGGATACAAACATTCCTTGGTGCACATGTTGAGGTCAAAGTTCAAGTTCATGTCCATCCTGTCCTTCTACCATGCATGAGGCAGGATCTTTCTTCTTCCCTGCTATGTATGCCAGGCTATGCATGCCTGATTTCAGCTTCCAATGGTTCTTCTGTACTGACCCCATTCCCTCGAGAGCACTGAGATAACAGGTCCCAGCATCTAGCTGGGAAGCTGAGGATCTGAACTCAAGTCACCAGGCTTGCGCAGCAAGGGCTTTACCCACTGAGCCATTTCCCCAGCCCCCAAACTCACTCATTTCACACTTCCACAGCAAATGACTCCCTCATCATGTAACATCATAGAACTCCCGCATCACCAGCTCAAGAAGAACTTACTTGTCTGGTGACCCCAAGCGGCCTGTGTGCTTCCTTCCCGGTGGGTTCCTGTATACATCCTCCTCATTTTCATCCACATCATCATCAATGCTTTTCACATCAAGCTTTTGGTAGCCCAACTCCCCATTCAAAGAAGCAGAATCAATTTTCCATGAGCTGCTGCTCTGGCTCCCATTTGAATTTGGCCCAAAGGGGCCTTCAAAGGCTGCCATGATGTTGGAGGACCGGTCAGAGTTCTCCTCCGAGCTTTCTGCAGTCCCAGGCATCTTTTTTAAAGTGTCCGAAATGTTCTGCTCCTCATCATCATCATCAAAAGAGACAATGTTGGTCACCTTCTTTCTCCTCCTACGCTCCCGTTTACATCTGGCATCTGGCAAAAGAAAAGCTGTGGCAGTAAATGGAAGGAAGGCCAAACCACACTCCCCTGGGGCAGTAAAGCCTATTTTCACACTAAGAATAAACTAAGACTAAATCAGATTATGTTGGGTTTTTAGGGGGTTTTTTTAATAGACTTTTTTTTTTCATACAATATGCTCTGATTATGGTTTCCCCTAGGTCTTCCCAGATCCACCCCAACCCTCCACCCATTCAAATCCACACCCTTTCTTTCTCATCCTAAACCAGAATAAAACAAAAAACAAACAAATAAAAAAGAAGAGCCAAAGAAAAAGAACAAGAAACACATACAGATGCAAAGACATAAATATTCACACATGCAGAAAACCCATAAAGACACAAAATCAGAAACGATAGTATTTATAAGCAAAAGACTTGTAAGATTAAACAAAAATGTCCAGATAACACATAATGAGACAAAAAACAAAAACCCTACAAAAATATCACTGACCATTTTCTGCTGGGCATTTTTTAGGGTTGTTTTTTTTTTTTAAACTATTTTTAAGGGTGTGTGCGTGTGTGTGTGTGTGTGTGTGTGTGTGTGTGAAGTGTGCAGATACCAACAAAAGTGAAAAGATGTTATCAGATCCCTTGGAGCTAGTAATATAGACAGCTGTGAGACATGGATGCTAGGAATCAAAGTCAGGTCCCCTCGAAGAGCAGCAAACTAGGAAGGCCAGAGGCACTAGAGGTAGAATCTACTACTGTTATTTTTGCTAAAGCTCATCTTGACAAATATTCCTCTACGTATTTATGTTTATACCCACAGGTTAGTGATGCTCACAACTTTGGTTAGAGATGTTTCTTTCTGTACTGGGCAGCATTTAATTCAGACTTGTAAGCGGTCAAAGTGTTAAAAATAAACAATTGTCAGTAATCAGCCCAACATGAGACATCTTTATCAAGCCCAACCCAGCCCACCAAGGCTCAGAGAACAGTGGAAAGAGACGGAAATAATGGAAGAGCCAGGAGGTATGGAAGAGTGCTACAAAATGTTGTCCACTGGACATGACATGGTGAACTCACAACAGCTGTGTTTAATTGCATAAGACCAAGCCAGTCAACATTCCAGGATTGTGAAGGAGTGGATCAAGAGGCCTTACCTGTCTGAGGAGCTGTGGGCAGCTGACGGCTGCTGGGGAAGAAACTGGCTTGTCTTCAGAGGTATGTGGCTGCCAAGCTGCCCCTGCTCCAGTGGATGGCCCCACACCCATGTTCATGCAGGCAGCACTGATTACACTCAGTGAGTATTTATTTATAAAGAGGACATGAAGGCAGGAAGGGGAATGTTAGGGGAGAGTGGGAGGTAGGTATGATCACAACACAGTATTTACAAGTATGAAACTGTCAAAGAATAAATAAACATTCTTTTTTTAACAGGTTCTAAAGGGAGGGCTGGGGGTAGCTCAGTAGGTACAGTGCCGGCTGCAAAAGCACAAAGACTTGAATTTGGACTCAGTCCTGGGAGAAAGCTAGGCATGGTGGTGTACACCTGTAACTCCAGTCATGGAAGGGCAGAGACAGGTGGATCCCTGGAGCTCAATGGCTAGCCAGTCTAGCCAATCAGTGAGCTCTGGGTTCTGAGAGAGAGTCTGTCTCAAAACAAAGGAAGGTGTGCAGCCACAGAGGAAGATCGCCCATGTTGACCTTTGGCCTTTGCACTTACATACATGTACACACACATTACATAAATAAACACACATACACAAATCAACAGATAGGGAGATAAAACAGAATTACAAAAGTGAGGCATCTGGGTCAGGGTTGTGATCATTCTCATCGGAAGCTAAGGCAGAAAAATCCAAGTTCAAGACCAGAATAGGCAATGGAGTCAGTTCAAAGTCACCCTAACAATATAACATCTTATCTCAAAAACAAAACATAAAAAGAGCTTATGATATAGCTGGGTGGTAGAGCACTTGCCCAGCATGTACAATCCTCACTACAAAAATACATATACTTTTTTAAAATTTTTTAAAAAGGGATGGCCATGATTATTACCTTAATGGATCTGGGATGACAGAGATCAGTATTTAACCCCTGAGTTTTGATTTCTACTAAAAGCAACTCAGTAACAACTCCAAATGCTCTAAGGGTATCATCAACTTCTGGCATAAATTATCTTAACTGAAACAATTTCCCCATGCCTGCTCACAGTCAAGCTCAGAGCTACCGTTTTCCCTTAGGCCACTACTTCAACAGCATCTTCCCAATACAAGCAAGCCCAAACCACCCTCTCTGGAGTATCACATGCTTTCATCCTATATTCTACAAGCAGTAAGTTGCTTGTGTCTTTTGTTTTAAAATATCACCCCTGCCCAAGATGACTAAGTAAGATGCTAGCAACAAAACAAATAAATAAAAAAAAAAAACAGGAAAGGAGGGGAGAAAGAGACAGCAGTGTTAGATGACCCACTTGGCTTCCTATTTCCTAGGACTAGCTGTTTGCTTGTCTACCCTTTGCTCCACTGAGAGGAAGTGACAGCATTAAGGTGGGTTCCTTTCAGCCCCACTCACATTTCCTTCTCAGTGGCCCTACTGTGCCACCTTGAGAGCCCCTTTTGGCTCACCAACATTGACGTTCTTGGATATGACAGGCAGAGGGTCAGTCTCCTGCTCCGGCTTGATGAGAATGGAGACAGCAGAGGATGCCGTGATCTCCCTGAGAAGGCTGCTCATGCCCTGTGTGGACTCCTTCAGCAAAGATGTCACATTCTGCGTTGACTCCTTTAAGAGGTCAGAGACAGTAGGAGCAAATTTGCTCTGCCCATTCAAATCCTTATTGTCAATGTTAATGGCAAAGAGTATGGAGTTCAGACCTGCCAAAAAAGGAAGGAGGGGTTTGCTGTCATGCAGTCACACCTCCATCGTCAGCAACAAGACAGTCTGCCAGGGACACATACTCATCTTCAGCTTCTATGAAACCATCTGTAACTGAACTGACAGATTTAGAAGCTCATATGAACAGTCTTTCCATATCCCCTCCCTGAATGTCAGAAAGACAAACAACAAAAATCACCCTGGAGACAATGATGGCAGATGTTCTGGAGAGAGGCTGCCTGGGTTGAGGCACAGAACTTAGTAGCTCTGAGACCTTGGTCAAGCAACTTGTCATCTCCCTGAGATGGTGACAACAGTAATGCTCTCAAGATCATGGGTACTGAATACTTCACCTAGCAAAACCTCATCAAGAGCTCAATGTGCACCTAGAGCACCGTTACAATTACTTTAGCCAAGACTGACACTAACAATCTACTGTCTATAAAGAAAACCACAGCCAAAGCCTGACTTTCTCATCCCTTGATGAGACCAGCATGGCCCTCAATATGTGGGACTCAATGTCAGGTTTTAGAAGAAAAAGAATGTAAATGGAACAATAAAGAATTTGGATGAAGGACAAGCTGTCATGTTCATGATCTCTCAATCATACCAATCCAGGGCCTTGCTTCATGTTGATAAGCCACATGCACAGCCTTTTATTTTCTATGGCTCTCTTAAAGCCATAAAAAGGTGACTGGAAAGCTAACAGCATTCTCATGTCACAGAAGAGGAGAGACGAGCTGATAGAATTCAGCTGACATGCAGCAAAACTAGGGTCAAAGCAGTCTGCCAATCCCTAGTTCTTTATAGTTCACCTGCCAGGCTGCAAGCCAAACCCTTCAACCACATGCTTCAACTGTGTGGTGTCAGATTCCAGATAAATTGTCCCACTTAAAAAACAACACGTTACTCTTCCAACCAGGAGGGCAAAGAACAACACAGCATCCCCTTGGGCAATAAATCCACTCCCAGAAGCTCTCTACTCATCAAGCCTCTCAAGGCTCGTCACTCCTGGCCTCAACCAGGCTTACCAGCTGCCATGGTAGGGAGCATACTGGACCGTTCTTCATCCATCACAAAAGACCAGTCTTCATAGAACGTACTGCAAATGCAAAGAGAAAAGGAAGGGAGTTCTCAGTATCCACACACTGGGCAATGATGCCATCAGATGGCTCTCTGGAAATGTCAGGCCTAGTCTGTCACCCAGAGGGAATTTGGTTCCTCTCTACTTTCAAGCGTCTCACTAGAAACAAAGATCTGAATACACAAATCCTATGACTTCCTTCTTGGTCCCATGAAACCCTGAACTTTAGAGGGCTGAATACACATATGCAAATGTGTTTATAAAGCAGCAAAATTGAAGAGGACAGAATGACGGACTACACTCAACAAGGTACCCCAGAAACAGACAGGAAGTCCAAGCTCACCCAACAGGGCTCACCCGATTGGCTAATTCAAGAATAATTTCAGAAGCAATTGCAGAACTACAGGGCTCCATCAACCAGGGCATCCATTATAACTTCTGGGCTACAAACCTAGACTCCAAGTCAGTCCTGGAGAGGGCTGGGAGGGTAGAGGGCCCCTGTGAATTCCAGTAGCAGCCAGGGATGGTCAGGGAAGCCTATGGGGATCCAAGGCAATCTAGCCAATCAACAGTACAGCAGGGCTTAAAAACAGGTCTCCCAAGTCAATTTCCAAGCACTTAATATGACTCTGTTAAGCCATAAATAACAAGATTCCTCAATGCCAGGTAACAAAATTGCATGTACAGCTTCAGCAATGTCAGTTCAGTGCTGAAGTGGCCTGCAATTCAGCAAGAGATGGGAAAAACTAGATGCTGAGGTGACTGAATACAACAGGGAAGAGGCATGATGGGAAGATTAAAAAACCACAATGTCAAGCTAGCATTTTGACCACATACAATTCCATAACAAATTGGGAGAAAATTTGAAAATCTGAACTAGCTTTCACACATGTAGGTGAATCTGGAGTGGGGAGAGAGGGGGAGTGTATCCATGAATATGCTTGCTCATGGAGGCCAGAGAAGAACCACCAGCGTAATTCCTCAGGATCCAGTCACCTTTTCTGAGACAGGGACGCTCATTGGTCTGGAGATCACCAAGTAGGATAGACTAGCACAGGCCATGAGCCCCAGGAATCTGCCTATCTCTGCCTCCTTATCACTGGGACATGTACCACTGTGTTAGCTCTTTTTATGTAGATTGTGGTTTCCATTGTTTTTAATTATCTTTTTTATTATTTTTTATTTTTATTTTTATTAATTACAGTTTATTCACTTTGTATCCCCCCCATTACCTCCCTCCCTCTTCTCTACCTGTGTTCCTCTCCCAGTCCACTAATAAGGGAGGTCCTCCTTAATTATCTTTTTCTTCATTATTTTAATTTGTTTTTATTATTGCATATATATATATATATATATATATATATATACATATGCTGGATATGTGTGAATTCAGACACACATGTGACAATTTTCAGGAGTCACTTCTCTCTACTTCCACCATAGGATTCACCGGATCTGTGGGCTGAGCTCAGGCTTACGTGCCTGTGTGCCCAGCAAGAGCTTTTACCCACTGAGCGACATCTCACTGAGCTAAGCATGTTTAAGAGCAATCCCAGAGCAGCCACAGAATCACTGGTGGAGTTACCAACAGCAAAAACACCACAGAGTAGCAGGGCAGCACAATGGAGCACTTGTCTAGCATGCACCAGCACCTGAGTCTAATTTCAGGTAAAGAAATTAGGCAGAGAAGGAGAAAATGGAAGAAGTTGAAGGAGGAACAGGGCTACAGATGCAGAAAGGGAGACCTGAGCCTGCAAAAAAACTGGGAAGACTGAGATCAAGGGACTTTTGGGTCCTGAGAAGCTACCTCACTGCACTAATGAAATATGGGTGTTAAGTTTCAGCCCTGTTACACCAGAGTTACCCAAGATCAGAGAGGATTGATCATGGCTCCTTGGGTCATCAGCTGACATATATTGTGTCTAGTCTACCATCTTCAGAGACAGGTAGCAACAAGAAGATATAAAAGTGGCCAACTAAGGCCCCTGAGGATTCTCAAGTGTTGCTACAGCACAATATGACCTGAGTAAACTTTATGCTCAAAAAAAAAATTGTATGGTTTTGGCATCTTTGTCAAAAATCAGGTGTCCATAAGTGTGTGGGTTTATTTCTGGGTCTTCTATTCAATTACATTGATCTACCAGCCAGTTTCTATGCCAGTACCATGCAGTTTTTATTACTGTTGCTCTATTGTACAGCTTGAGATCAGGGACTGAGATACCTCCAGAAGATCTGTTATTGTAGAGGATTGTTTTAGTGATTCTTGGTTTCTTGTTATTCCATACGAAGTTGAAAATTTTTCTTTCATGGTCTGTAAACAATTATGTTGGTAATTTGATGAAAATTGCACTGAATCTGTAGATTGCTTTTGGTAAGATGGCCATTTTTACTATGTTAATCCTGCCAAGCCACAAGCATGGGAGATCTTTCCATCTTCTAATATCTTCTTCTATTTCTTTCTTCAGAGACTGGAAGTTTTATGCTCAATCTTCATTCAGAAAGGCAAACAGGATGGACATCAGAAGAGGGAGTAAACAGGGAATGGGATAGGAGCCTACCACAGAGGGCCTCTGAAAGACTCTACTCAGCAAGGTATCAAAGCAGATGCTGAGATTCCTAGCCAAACTTTGGGCAGAATGCAGGGAATCTTATGAAAGAAGGGGAAGTTAGTAAGACCTGGAGGGGACAGGAGTTCCACAAGTTGAGCAACAGAACCAAAATATCTGGGCACAGTGGTCTTTTCTGAGACTGATACTCCCAAACAAGGACCACGCATGGAGATAACCTAGAACCCTGCACAGATGTAGCCCATGGCAGCTCAGTGTCCAAATAAGGGGAACAGGGACTGTCTCTGACATGAACTCAGGGGCTGACTCTTTGATCACCTCCCCCTGAGAGGGGAGCAGCTGTACCAGGCTACAGAGGAAGACAATGCAGCCAATCCTGATAAGACCTGATACACTAGGGTCAGATGGAAGGGGAGAAGAACCTCCCCTATCAGTGACTGGGGGCGGGGCATTGGAGAAGAAGAGGTAGGGAGAGTGGGATTGGGAGGGGATGAAGGAAGGGGCTACAGCTGGGATACAAAGTGAATAAACTGTAATTAATAAAAAATATTTTTTTAAAAAACATGGTAAAATGAAGCTTTTAACAAAAACAAATCACTTCCTTCCCTAATGTCTCATATTATGAGCAGGCCTGGTCTTACAGACCTCTAATCCCAGCACTAAAGAAAAAGGCCAGCCTGGGTTACACAGTGAGTTCCAGGCCAGCCTAAACTACATGTGAGATCTTGTCTCAAAATAAACAAAAGGACAAGATGCTTCCACATCTTTCAGTCAGTTTACTGAAGAATCCCAAATTAAAACTCCATGGAGTGAGGGGCAGTCTGTGTCCTAGGGCAACAGCTATCTGTGTCCAAGCCTTGGTCACAGCAAGCACTGATAGAGTGCTGGCTACATGGGTTCCCCTCCGAGCCCCTTCTAGGCATAATGGCATCTGATCTCACACCCAGGGAGTAGCTGGCAGGGCTACAGTGTAGAAGCCCCTTTTGCCCCTGATGGGGACTAGGAAAGTCTGTCTCCAGCTTGTTCAGGGCCATTCTGCTGGGTACCTGAGCCTGGCACGGTCAGCCAGGAGCATGTGCAGGTAGCGCTCGAGGGAGTGCTCATTGAGGGCACAGCGTAACCAGGCCCGGCCTCGGCCCACATCTGCCGTGATGTGGTGCAGGGAATAGAAGCGTTGCAGTTCGTGCTTGTTGAGGACCTCCTTCACGTAGAACCAGAACACAGGCTCTGTAAAAGGAAGGCAGCAGTGTGTCACTGGGCCTGCAAGCTGTTATCTCCAGAGTAATGGTCACTAGGCAACTTTATGGAGTGCAAATAGCAAACTTCCTTAGCACAGACAACATAGAACAAAGGAATAATCAAAAGTAAACAGGGCCTTAAACTCCCCACCCACCCATTCTTAGTTAACATTTTCAAAACATTCCAGCCAGTCTTTTTTTTTTCTTTGCACCTTTTTAATACAAAAATCAATATTTGTGGCTGCTAAATTATGTCCCCAAACATAACTATACTCTTATCTCTAGAACCTGTGAACGTAGCCTGATGAAGCAAAGGATTCTTGGCAACTCTGATGATGGCAATCCCTGTGGACACAACATATTAACAAGTGTCTTCATAAGAAGACAGAGAAACTGACCCAGAGGAAAGAAGGTCATGTGACTAGGGGAGCAAAGATTAGAATGAAGTGGTCACTTCCAAAGAATGACAGCAGCCAGCAGAAGCAAAGAGAGGTGAGAATAGCTGCTCTCCTGTAGTACCAGCAGGAACCAGCCTGCCATTGTCATCCTGCAATGGTAGCCCATGAAACTGACCTTGAAGTTTCAGCTCCCAGGACTATGAGAATCGATCTCTTTAAGCCACACATGGTGCCGTGGACCTGCGGTCTGGCTAATGAAGGAGCTGAGGCAAGAAGATAGCTTGAGCCAAGCAAGGAGTTCAAAGTTAACCTGGGCAACATAGCACAATCCCATCTCATCCCAGCCCAGCCCAACAAAAACAAAAATCTACATAGTGTATTGTTGTATATGTATATATACATACATACATACATACATACATACATACATACATACATACATGTAATTCTGTATCCTGATTCAGTTCTTTCTAAATTGTGAATATTTTCCAGATTCAAAAGTCCTCAGAACAATTTTGTACTATTACTTATTCACTCAGTCTTCTTAATGTTGAAGGTGATTTCTGGCAGCTTCCTGGTGGGACATAATTTAGCTCCATCTTGATTACAAAGAATTTGCTTTCCCTCACACAGCATAGAACATCCTTGATCATGAATAATAGCCCTCATTTCTAGATCCTCAGGGGAGCTTCCCAAATAATGAACTACTTGGTAGAAGGACAGGAACAAATTTAAGGCTACAGGAAGGCCTTGATAAGGTTGTGTTGAGCTGTGTGCAGCCAGCCGTCCTTACTGACCTTTCTTCAGGTCTACCTTTCTTACCCACATGCACAAATTACTTAGGAGTTTAAATCCTAGGGTACACCTCATTTTGTGGTTGATTTTCTTTACAATGTTGGCTCATTGACCCTTCTTCATGTTATGATCAATACTGCAATGACAGTTATTAGCTCTTGAGTATTAATTGTATACCAGCCATTGCCAAAACATTTCATAATTGACCTCACTCAAACCAAGGCCATCTTATTTGAAGGCAAAGCCTGAACAAGTCCTGCGTAGTTAATATGAATGTTAATAAGCAGCACAGGTGAGCAGAAGTATAGTGCCAAACACAAGCCACTCCAATCATATTTTGCCTCTGATATCTTCAAATGAGCAAATTCACAGTTTGATTTCTAAGTGGGGCAGAGCCATGCCTCTGCTGCCAAATCCAGCTTTTTTTAACTTATTTATTTTATCACTATCAGTTATTATTATTATTATTATTATTATTATTATTATTATTATTGCATGTGCATTACTGTTTTGCCTGCATATCTATATGAGGGTGCCAGATCCTCCAGAACTAGAGTTACAGACAGCTGTGAGCTACCATGTAGATGCTAGGAATTGAACCCATGTCCTCTAGAAGACCTGCCAGTGTTCTTTCTCTTTTTTTTTAACTTTTATTTTTTTTAAGTTTTTCGAGACAGTTTCTCTGTGTAGGCCTGGCTGCCCTAGATTCTCTTTGTAGACCAGGCTGACCTTGAATTCACAAAGATCTGACTGCCCAAGTGCTGTGTGCTAAGTGGTATATGCCACTGCGCCTGGCTTCAGCCAGCATTCTTAACCACTGAGCCATCTCTCCAAACCCACACTGGGCTATCTCTCCAATCCCGAGACTCGGCTCTCAATCCAGGAACCAAACAAGTTTGCAGACTCCCCTGAGAACATTTAGAGTCATCAAGGTTTCCTTCCCAAAGAATGCAAATATGCACAGCTCCAAAGACTACACCCCAGATTAAGAAAAGCTTGATCTAATACTCTGATACTTCAGTTGAACTGACCTAGGCTAACCGCACCACTCTAGTGAGCCCTGAGTGTGCCTAGCCAGGAGAACAAGGACCCATCTGTGAGGACCTACATGTACAGCAGGACGAACAGGTGACAAGATCACTCACAGCTACATAGCCTTGGGTAGGCACAGAACTGTGCTAAACCTCAGGTTCCTGTCCTATGAGCACAGAGTAAGTGGCCTGAGATTTTCGGTTAATTGGAGGAAAGGGCAGGCAGGGTGCTGAGCACAAGGCAGACACAGGCCATTCAACAATGGCAGCCAGACAGGAGATAACCAACACCCACGGCTAACAAGTGTTGTGTAGGCTTCTCTTTCCCTTTCTGGATCAGTAGCACCTAAATGTGTGTATATGAGTGTGTAGATATTTGGGAACCCAGTCATCCTTCCAGGTCTTTTGACTTTGTTACTTCTGTCTATTTAGGGTGCGTATGTCTAGTACAACACGTGTGCAAACATCAGAATATAGCTTGCAAGAGTCAGTTTTTTCCTTCTAGCATGTGGGTCCCAGAAACTGAACTCAGGTTGTCAGGCTTGGTGACAAGAGCCTCTTCAGCTGAACCATCTCACTGGCTTCATTTCTCAGAAGAAACTTCCCAGGATGAAAGAGAAAGTGCAGTTCACTCTCAGATGTCACATGGCAAATTCACTGGACTATATAACCACACAAAAGAGGCTACAGACCCTTCTCTGCCTCTCCGCTAGTTCCTACAAACTGAACCATCCCCTCCAGACAGAGTGAGATTCTAAAGACTTATGAGGCTTAGGAAGCTCCTGAAAGTTACAAGATTCAGAGTCATAAAGGCAGCAAACACCTGCTGAGGAGCGGACACTCTTCAGTGGAGCTGTCTGCAAGTTGGACAGCAAGCCCCAGGAATGCAGCTTTGTTGAGTCATCAACCATGCTGGAGCGGCTTTTCCATGATACAGCTTCCCTGAGTCAGCCATGCTTCTGTAAGGAACCCCAATAAACTCACTGGTTCATTAAACTATATTTAGGTGGAGTCACTCCTTGGCTTGCCATAATTTCCCTATCTGCTACAAAAAGGCCAAGAAAAGTTACATTCAAACACCAGCACAGGGGACTCAGCCAGTAAGGCCTTTGACATCAAGTAATTCTCACTGGCATCCTGTCTTCTCAAAAAAAAAAAAAAAATGCAGTGACCTCCCCCCGACCTTGAATACCAGGAACACTTTACTGTAAAGCATGTTTTCACCATTCAAGCTTGCAAATTGCTACTGTGAGGATCTTTTTCAGGTCTGTCAATGATGCCACTGATGATAAAAATTATCCTAGCAGGGCTCCACTTCAAAATTAATGTGGTCTATTTAAAGTGTAGCTCACCTGTCTTGTAATGCAAGCACTGTCCATAATTTAATTTGTAAATCTATTCTGATCTGCTTTGAAACATGGGGAAAATTCCAGAAGCATGCCAGGGCTTCAACTTCTCAGAGTACCTGAAGCCAACAGCCAGAAAGAACAGGACCAGAACGGGGGTGAGTGAGCTGTCTAGAGTCCCTGCTTGTAGCTGACTAACAGAACCAGCTTTGGCAGTTTCTAACAGGCCTTTGCATACGGCTTTCATTGCTAAGAATTCATACCTCACATAGTCTCAGTGGGCAAAGTGCTTGATGAGCAAGAGAAGGACCTAAGTTTAGATCTCCATCACCCATATGAAAAGCCAGGTACAGGTACATCTGGATGAGGTGGCATATGCCTGTAACCCCACCACTTAGGAGGCAGGCATAGGTAGATCACTGTAAGTTTAGGCCAGCCAGAGCTACAACATAAGATCCTGACTTAAAACCTGGGTACAGGAGTGCACCTGAAATCCCAGCACTGGGAAATCAGAGACTGGAGGATTCCCTGGCTTGCTGGTCAGCCATTCTAACCCAATCAGTGAGCCCCAGCTTCAATGAAAGATCCCTTCTCAAAACACGAGGCAGAAAACAATTGAGGAAGACAGCTGACATGATCTCTGGCCTGCACAAACAGCTACATGTGCACACACACACACAATAGCAAATAACATATAAAATGTGCACGTGAAGTTGACTCAATCAGCATCAGACACAGCAAACATGCCTGCTATAAATGTGTTCCGCAGTAAGCAGCTGTTAGTATTGTCATTACACTAAAGCCTAGCAGAAAGGCGCCCCGACAGCAACCCCTCCCCTTGCTTATGGCAGTGCCCCTCTTTCCTGTCCTCTTCCTGACCAGCAGTGGCAGGTCCAGCAGATGGGGAGACCATCAGACCACATGAGGGTATCCACTCTATGACACAGCATCAATCCAGCCTGTTTTAGATCTGTGCTCTTCATGGAGCATTGTATAAATAAGGTGCCCACAGAGGTCAGGGATGTCAAAATCCACTAGAGCTGGAGTCACAGGCAATTGTGAGCTGCCCAACATGTGTACTGACTCCTCTCCAAGAGAAGCATGTGCTCTTAGCCTGTGAACAATCTCTCCAGGTTTAATGTTCATCTTTTCGGACAGTATGTAAAAAGATTATTTATCTCCATTACTGAGGGGGTTTTCATGGCCAAAGAGGCTACCTCATTGACCTCACATTAGTCCTGGCCCATGTCTACAGGCCCCTCCACACAGCTCTATCTAAAACACCAGAAAACAAACAAACAAAAAAAAGTCCTGGAACCAAAAGCTGCAAACTACGGCCTAGGGACAAATTCTAGCCAAACGTTTTTTGCTGAAAGTTTTACTGAAACACAGCTCCAGCCACTTAGGTAACAGCTGCTG